TCATTTTAAACAATCATAATCTACAGATTTTAATTTTTATAGTTTAATAAAAAAAATATTTTGGTTTACTTTTTGTAATAGAAATAAAAAAAATCGTAATACATAAAAAAAAAAGAATTTATATTTACTAGAGAGTGAGTGAGAAGGAGGGCCTTAATTTACTAGAGAGAATGGTTACAAATGAATGGTATGTTTTAGTTGGCTATTTAAATTATTTTTTTAACCCTTAGTTTTTTTCTCTTTTTTTTTTCTANGGCCTTAATTTACTAGAGAGAATGGTTACAAATGAATGGTATGTTTTAGTTGGCTATTTAAATTATTTTTTTAACCCTTAGTTTTTTTCTCTTTTTTTTTTCTAAAAAAAATATTTTAGTATATATTTAATATTATAGGTTGGGTTCATGAGCTCAAACCACTCAAATTTATTTTTGATTGAGTTTAAATTTTCATATGACTTTTTTAAGGCCTAAAAACTTATAGATTTAAAAAATTTAACTGAAAAATTTGGAGACCAGTCTCCTTAAATAGACTTATTTAAACTGAAATCCGATAAAAAAACTTATTTGTTATGAAGTTCGTTTTTTATCAATTTTACCAGACTATCCATTTTCTTTGGAAGTGAAATAAAACTAAAAATTAAAATTTCTTAAATTTTTAATAGTTTTACTAACTTTAAAAAAATTTCTCTCTCATATCCATCTATATCCATATATAGGTTAAGACTATATCTCTCTCATATATATATAGTAACATAAAAAATAAAAAATAATAACATTCAAATACAAAAAAAAATTATCATTTAAATACAAAAAAATAGTATCATTTAAACACAAAAAAATAGTAACATTCAATATTAATATTTTTAAAAAAATAACAATAGTAACATGTTCAATAAAAAAAATAACATACTTAACAGAAATAGTAACATGCTTAAAAAAAACAGTAACAACAAAAAAAATAGCAATACGGAACATTGAACAAAATTGAAAATAAAAATAGTAGCATTCAAACACAAAATCAGAGGAAGAAGCCTCCAACTCTTCGGCATCTAAAAAAGTAACATTGAAAAAGTAATAACATGCTCAATAAAAAGTAGTGACATGAAAAAAAAATAGGAATATGATCAATTAGAAAAATAGTAACATGGTCAACAAAAAACATAATAATATAAAACAATGAAAAATTTTGGGGATTATTTATCAAAAAAAATAAAAAATAAAAGTGGGGATCAAACTAATAACACATTGAGCAAGTTTTTCAACTTTTTTTTTTCTTGAAAACCAACTACATATAAGTTCATAATAACCATAACACATTAGAAGATATGATAATTGTTGATGATATTTCAAGTTTTACTGATTTTGACGCTAAAAAATAATAACTAAGGAGAAAGAGTTGTTGAATTGAGTGATGATCTTTTTCTAACAAGAGAGAGAGGAGAGAATATAATTTTTAATTTTAATTTATGAGTGAATTAAGAAATAATAATTTCTAATTTAAGAAATTAATTTAAAGCTAATTTTACGATTTTTAAGGTTTCTATAATTGAACAAACTGTTAATGATATTTTTGGAATTTAAAAAAATAATGGACTTAAGTACTTATTAATAAGATAAAAATCAGACTTTTCACCAAATAAATTTTTTTGACAGACTCAAATCATTATAAGTTCATTTTGGAGGATTCAGTCTCAATTTTCACAATTTAATTTGGACTAATTATGCATCTAAAAAATTTGGCTCTTCTTGAAAAATGGGCCTAAAACCTAAACTTTGTTGGCCTTGTGATAGNAAATAAAAAAAATGTATATATATATCATTGTATTTATATATGAAAATTAATGTATATATAATATATGTATATATCAAAAGATATATAGACAAATAAAATATATCTCAACAAAAATAATTAACTTTCCATCTACTTTTCTTACGTTTTGGAGGGATTGATTTTTAGTGGGTTGAAAGTAAAGTTAATCTATCCATTTTTTCATCTTTCATATTTTCTTTTTTTACCAAACATGATATTTTATTTATTTTTCAAACTTTCTTTCTTTTTAACTTTTTATCATTTTATTTTTTCATCATACCAAATAGAGCATAAAATGCCACAAGAAGTAGAGGCTCCAATCCGATTAATTTTCAAACTAAATCGATTTGAAAATTTTTATTTAAACACAACCAATTAGTAAAATCTCTACCTAAACGATGAATATTTCAAAGTATGTTAAATAAAATATTATTTGAATTTAATTTGATAATCTAATTCAATGCAAATATTGAATTGAAAGTAGATCTCACATCACATTAAAACTCACAACTAATTCAATAGCTATATTAAATAATAATATATGATAGTGTTCAAAAAAATAAGATACATAATTAGATCCTATGTAGCATTAGTCTTAGGTTAAACCGTCAAAAAAATACGCTCGAGTGGCCACATGTTGCACGAACACAACTTCTTGAAGCAAATTTCTCAATGCAAGGTTTGAGGTGACAACTTATCCTTCAATGTTCTAACTCAATTCTAAGGTAATAAGGGTGATAAAATATGAATCTAGATGTTTTAATTTTAAATCTTGATAATTTTTTAGGATTAAATTATAAAAATTTACATTTATGAATACCTTAAGCTCAGCATAAATGTCTATCTTTCATTAAAACAAAAAGAGGATTAGTTGAAGTTTCGATAAACAAACCCGAGACCTGATAGTTGGGAAAAGAAAAAATCTTCTAAAACAAATTCATGAACTCTAACCCAACCAGCCTCAAACCGGTTATAAATTTCAAACGAACCTTCCTGTCCTTGTACATTCCTCCAAAGTCCAACAATTGACTATTAGTGATCAAAAATTCCGCATGAAATGCCCAGCCAACAACGACCAACGACGACTTCACCATTCTTCCTCACCTTTTTCTATACACAGCTACCCAGTAGAAAGCTTGGCGAGAGAGAGAGAGAGAGAGAGAGAGAGAGAGACTAAACGTGTAACAAGAACAAGTCATGGCCACCCCCGGGGCATACCAAGAGCACCTTCCGGCAGTCCCCTCATGGCTAAACAAAGGTGACAACGCATGGCAGATCACAGCATCGACTCTCGTCGGTCTCCAGAGCATGCCAGGCCTCGTCATCCTTTACGCCAGCATCGTCAAGAAGAAATGGGCCGTCAACTCTGCTTTCATGGCCCTCTACGCCTTCGCAGCCGTTCTCATCTGTTGGGTCCTCGTATGCTATCGCATGGCCTTCGGTGATCAGCTCTTCCCTTTCTGGGGCAAGGGCTCACCGGCTTTAGGCCAAAATTACCTCATCCGACGAGCCGCCGTACCGGAGAGCACACATTATTACGAGAATGGATCGATTGAGACCGCCATGATCGAGCCTTTCTACCCAATGGCCTCACTGGTGTATTTTCAGTTCAACTTTGCGGCCATTACCATGATTTTACTTGCTGGTTCGGTACTTGGACGAATGAATATCAGGGCCTGGATGGCTTTTGTCCCTCTTTGGCTCATTTTTTCATACACTGTTGGTGCTTTCAGTCTCTGGGGTGGTGGGTTTCTCTTCCACTGGGGTGTCATTGATTATTCCGGCGGTTATGTCATCCACCTCTCTTCCGGAATTGCTGGTTTCACCGCAGCCTACTGGGTAGTACACTATGCAATACTATTATATGCAAATAAAATCCTTTTCATAAACATAATGTCCTTTTTTTTAGTTCAACAGTTAAGGTGTCTGGATTTTCTGTATTTTGACTAATATTTTTTTAAATTTGGTCAAAATCAGGTCATTCGCGACAAAATTAAAGTATTTATGAGAGACGGGCCTAATTTAGACAGGTTTAACAACTAGATTTAGACACGACTAGTAATTCAGAAACGGAATTGAGTCTTCTGTTAGTGAATATAAATAGGCGAATTCATTAGATTCATCAAATAAACGGGTTAATTAATACAATTAGCTAAACAAGACACAAACCAGTTAAATACGATTTATACATAATTATGAACAGCTCAGGTTTGGGTTTTGTATTATTGACATTTGAATTGATAGTGAACTTACTGCAATGTTAAGATCCATTACTGATGAAATAAACGCAGTTCTCTAAATCCAGTTTAAAGAACATTTCATTTCGATTTCATGTACAAATCAACACACTTATCACGTTGTTAAACTCGGTGAATTTCCCGGTGCAGGTTGGACCAAGATTGAGGAGTGATAGGGAAAGGTTTCCTCCGAACAATATCTTGCTGATGCTTGCTGGAGCTGGACTACTGTGGATGGGGTGGTCAGGTTTCAATGGTGGGGCACCTTATGCAGCGAACATTGATGCTTCAATAGCTGTACTAAACACGAATATATGTGCAGCCACAAGCCTTCTTGTTTGGACATCACTTGATGTAGTGTTCTTCGGAAAACCATCGGTCATCGGAGCTGTTCAGGGGATGATGACGGGCCTTGTTTGCATTACTCCCGGCGCAGGTATATAGGACTTCAGAAAAATAACTGGAACTAACACATGATGGTGTTATGTAGGATTTCAGAAATTTATGAAGGCATTTATGTAATGGAATTACCAACTTTGAAAAACGAATCTAGGATAATAGGGACGAACTTTAAATCCAGACATCTTCGAATTTTGTCAATTTTTTGGGGCCAAGCCATTCTCGGCATGGATAATATGTTTTTTGACCAAATCGAAGAGAAATTTAGTCGAAGTGTGCATAAATTGTTCTAAACACTCCTGACAGTTGAACCAAGAGAGCCAAGGTAGAAGGGGGCCTGCTCCCGTTTTGGGTTCTCTTGTGGATTGGCCTTTGCCCGGATAGATAGTATAGGTTGGAGATAAATCCCTCCACATATGCCATATAAGGATTCAAAAAAAAAGCTTCAATTTTGGTGTTGTATCGAAATTACATCTAAATAAAGATTAGCTATAACTCAAAAAATGTTAGAATCGATCTCAAAATATATAGTACGACCGATGCTGGATATTAGGATCTGTTTTAAAATATTAAGATCAACTCTAAACAATTTCATTTTTCATAATATCACTAAATTAAATTGTAACTTTACTGTTATTTTGTTATAATTCTTTATATGATATCGAAAAATAACTTTTATATACACATGTTATGAGCCATTGTAGTAATTGAATTGAGCAAGTGTATGGTTTTGCAGGGGTGGTGCAATCGTGGGCGGCCATAGTGATGGGGATGCTTTCTGGTAGCATTCCATGGTTTTCCATGATGATACTCCACAAGAAGTCTAGTTTGCTACAGAAGGTATGAAACCACTACAGAAAGTTATTTGGTTGCCTCATTCTGGGGTAAGGTTAGTGCGCACTATGAATGCCTATCCTTTTCATTATTAATCAAATGTAGAAATTTGAAAAGTTCTGTCGGCAACTTTGATTTTTAGATAACTCTAATTAAAGAAAACCTAGCAGGATTACGACTGGTAAACGATCTGGCGGCTTGGGCTCACTCATATTATAAATGAGCCGAATCTAAATAAATTTTTAGGCTAACCCGAACTATTCGCGAGCCAGCTGATTTATAAATTTATATTATACATATAAATTTAAGTTTGTACGTTTTTGGTGTGATTTAGAGGTATTTTATGCTCAGGTTTGTGTTAAATTTTATACTTGTGTGCATTTTTGTAAAAAAAAATTATTGGGTATTTGAAATTTTTGGATTTGAATTTTTTTTGAATGACTTGTTTTTTGCTCAAACTCGGCTCGATTTCAGTATGAGCCGAACTTGAACAATATTTTGAACTCAATGGGCGAGCCCAAGACAAGCTTGAGCAAACCATAAATAGCATGAGTCAAACCTGAGTATAGTCAAGCTCGGAAAACTCGGTTCGATTAACACCCCTAAGCATGAGAGGTATTACGAAGGACAGTCCTTAAAATTTGCAAGAAATACATAAACAACATGTGAAATTGATTAATCTTATGTACTTCATCATAATGGTAAGCAATGTGTAACCTGGGTCCAAGATTTTTGAGCTTAATTGGGTGAATTTCATTTATCTAGATCCCACAATCTCTGAAATGTATGTGTACNCCTAATTTAGACAGGTTTAACAACTAGATTTAGACACGACTAGTAATTCAGAAACGGAATTGAGTCTTCTGTTAGTGAATATAAATAGGCGAATTCATTAGATTCATCAAATAAACGGGTTAATTAATACAATTAGCTAAACAAGACACAAACCAGTTAAATACGATTTATACATAATTATGAACAGCTCAGGTTTGGGTTTTGTATTATTGACATTTGAATTGATAGTGAACTTACTGCAATGTTAAGATCCATTACTGATGAAATAAACGCAGTTCTCTAAATCCAGTTTAAAGAACATTTCATTTCGATTTCATGTACAAATCAACACACTTATCACGTTGTTAAACTCGGTGAATTTCCCGGTGCAGGTTGGACCAAGATTGAGGAGTGATAGGGAAAGGTTTCCTCCGAACAATATCTTGCTGATGCTTGCTGGAGCTGGACTACTGTGGATGGGGTGGTCAGGTTTTAATGGTGGGGCACCTTATGCAGCGAACATTGATGCTTCAATAGCTGTACTAAACACGAATATATGTGCAGCCACAAGCCTTCTTGTTTGGACATCACTTGATGTAGTGTTCTTCGGAAAACCATCGGTCATCGGAGCTGTTCAGGGGATGATGACGGGTCTTGTTTGCATTACTCCCGGCGCAGGTATATAGGACTTCAGAAAAATAACTGGAACTAACACATGATGGTGTTATGTAGGATTTCAGAAATTTATGAAGGCATTTATGTAATGGAATTACCAACTTTGAAAAACGAATCTAGGATAATAGGGACGAACTTTAAATCCAGACATCTTCGAATTTTGTCAATTTTTTGGGGCCAAGCCATTCTCGGCATGGATAATATGTTTTTTGACCAAATCGAAGAGAAATTTAGTCGAAGTGTGCATAAATTGTTCTAAACACTCCTGACAGTTGAACCAAGAGAGCCAAGGTAGAAGGGGGCCTGCTCCCGTTTTGGGTTCTCTTGTGGATTGGCCTTTGCCCGGATAGATAGTATAGGTTGGAGATAAATCCCTCCACATATGCCATATAAGGATTCAAAAAAAAAGGCTTCAATTTTGGTGTTGTATCGAAATTACATCTAAATAAAGATTAGCTATAACTCAAAAAATGTTAGAATCGATCTCAAAATATATAGTAGGACCGATGCTGGATATTAGGATCTGTTTTAAAATATTAAGATCAACTCTAAACAATTTCATTTTTCATAATATCACTAAATTGAATTGTAACTTTACTGTTATTTTGTTATAATTCTTTATATGATATCGAAAAATAACTTTTATATACACATGTTATGAGCCATTGTAGTAATTGAATTGAGCAAGTGTATGGTTTTGCAGGGGTGGTGCAATCGTGGGCGGCCATAGTGATGGGGATGCTTTCTGGTAGCATTCCATGGTTTTCCATGATGATACTCCACAAGAAGTCTAGTTTGCTACAGAAGGTATGAAACCACTACAGAAAGTTATTTGGTTACCTCATTCTGGGGTAAGGTTAGTGCGCACTATGAATGCCTATCCTTTTCATTATTAATCAAATGTAGAAATTTGAAAAGTTCTGTCGGCAACTTTGATTTTTAGATAACTCTAATTAAAGAAAACCTAGCAGGATTACGACTGGTAAACGATCTGGCGGCTTGGGCTCACTCATATTATAAATGAGCCGAATCTAAATAAATTTTTAGGCTAACCCGAACTATTCGCGAGCCAGCTGATTTATAAATTTATATTATACATATAAATTTAAGTTTGTACGTTTTTGGTGTGATTTAGAGGTATTTTATGCTCAGGTTTGTGTTAAATTTTATACTTGTGTGCATTTTTGTAAAAAAAAATTATTGGGTATTTGAAATTTTTGGATTTGAATTTTTTTTGAATGACTTGTTTTTTGCTCAAACTCGGCTCGATTTCAGTATGAGCCGAACTTGAACAATATTTTGAACTCAATGGGCGAGCCCAAGACAAGCTTGAGCAAACCATAAATAGCATGAGTCAAACCTGAGTATAGTCAAGCTCGGAAAACTCGGTTCGATTAACACCCCTAAGCATGAGAGGTATTACGAAGGACAGTCCTTAAAATTTGCAAGAAATACATAAACAACATGTGAAATTGATTAATCTTATGTACTTCATCATAATGGTAAGCAATGTGTAACCTGGGTCCAAGATTTTTGAGCTTAATTGGGTGAATTTCATTTATCTAGATCCCACAATCTCTGAAATGTATGTGTACGGACACGTAAAGTGTGAGTTTTGGCCTTTCATGATACCATAAATTCTAAAATCGTGTGGGTCTAGACCAAAATGGAGAATATTATAAAATGCAGGGGTATGAGACTTCGGAATATCCTACAATTTACTCCGTATAGTTAGAGCTGAAATGACCCTAACCATAATTTAATTTTCTGTTGTGTGATTAGGTTGATGATACCCTAGGTGTGTTTCACACACATGCAGTAGCGGGTCTGTTGGGTGGGTTATTGACTGGGCTTTTGGCAGAGCCAACCCTTTGCAGGCTCATACTACCAGTGACAAACACAAGAGGTGCATTTTATGGTGCAAATGGAGGTGTCCAGTTCCTGAAGCAACTGGTTGCAGCCTTGTTCGTGATTGGTTGGAACATCGTCTCAACGACGCTGATCCTTTTAGCTATAAAGCTGTTCATGCCTCTAAGAATGCCCGACGACGAGCTGATGATCGGAGACGACGCAGTTCATGGAGAGGAAGCCTATGCTCTCTGGGGTGATGGAGAGAAATATGACCCAACAAAACATGGTTGGCATGCATCATCTTATGGGGAAGATGCAGGGCAAACTAGGTTTGTTAATGGTGCTGCTAGAGGTGTAACCATCAATTTGTAAGACTACATAATCATCTACAAGTGCAGGTATACATGTATAGTATTGCTTGTATTGTCACAGGAGCTTTAGGTACGTGCTATTGTAGATAAATTTTGATTGTGCAAGATTGATGATACACAATATCACACATCAGTTAAAGAAAAGGACCCTCCACACCATGGTTTAGTAGTTAAAGTTGAATATGATTGACACCCTAGCAAGAGATAGTGGTCCAACATGAGATGGGTTGAGAGGTCGATTCAGACTCAACTCAAGTTATAAAAACCTCCTCAATTTAAGTTTAATTTGAACCCAAGTTCAACTTGAAGGGATATCTATATTTATATAATTACACACGGGTCGGAATTTAGCTTCAATTCCTGGATTGATTCTTAATGGTTTAATTGTTTAGTTACACAACTGAGATTACAATTTGTATTCAATTCAAGTTGAATCTGAGTTCCAATAATTTTGGTTGAATACCAAAAACACAAAACTACTCCAATTCAAGTACAACCCAAATTGAGATTTTGTAAGAGATTTTTTCACCCAAGCTCAATTTGAAAAATAATGTTATTTAGACCTAAAAATTTAATCTTATTTGTTGATCTGTTTCATTATGACATTTGGATTGATTGTGGGTCTCATTAAACATTGAAACTTGTTATTCATCCAATAATTTCAATGAATTCACGTCATCATGTTAGCAAATATGATTAAATTTTTAAGTCTAAATAACATTACGTCAATATAAATCGAACAATGATATTTGAACCTAAAAATCTACCTTGATTTACTGACCTAATTAACCATAACATTTGGATTGATTGTGAGACTCATAAAACATTAAAACTTACTCTTGATCCAATGGTTCCAATGAAACCACGTCATCATGTTAAGAAATCAAATTAAATTTTAGGTCTAAATAACATTATCGAAAATTCTTCCCAAATACTAAAAATTTTAGGTTGGACTGAGTTTGGTTTGATTGACTCTCTTAAGTTACACCCGAGCCAGAGACGCTGTCAAGCACGTGTATGGAAGTCTTGATTTAAGTAATAACGACATCAAATGGTGGCCAAGCAATATTAGACCATTTAAATCAAAGAATAGAAAGTTCTCCAATGCGTGTCGATTATAATTGATCTGGAAACTCAAAACCGAGAGAAAGAACCCATTTGGTAAATAATGTCAGCTGTACAAAGAGGTTCATCAAGACTCATCATTGGGATAGTAAACAGCATATACCATGGTACCGTCGAGGAAGCTTCTAGAGATCTACAATACCCACCAACTTTGGACTATAGGTTCCAGAAAGAGAGACTATATGATTAGTTAGCCTCCAATTTCAACTTTTATACTTTTGTTTTAACATTCTTGTTTTAATTTCTGGCTAACACTAACCATCAATTCTTCTAAATTTCCAAACAAAATTGTCAAAAATTTTGTATCATCATGTGCTTAAGATGGATGTGTGGTAAGCGTAGAAAAGATAGAATTAAGAACGAACATATTCAAAAAAAAAAGTAGAGGAAACACAAATAAGAGATAAGTTAAGGAGAATTCGACTTAGGTAATTTGAACATATTTATAAACAGCGTACTACGACACCGGTGAGAAAGTGTGATATGATAGTTATTGAAAGCAAACGTAAGAGTAAAAGGAGACCAAAATTAACTTTAAATGAAATAGTAAAAAAATATATGATAACTTATGGTTAACTGAAAATATCACCCTTGATAAAACTTAATGACGGAATTTGATTCATGTAACCGACCCCAAAAATTTTGGGACAATTTTATTTAGTTGAGTTGAGTGTATGCTTAGGGCATTCCCACCAAGGTTTAGTGGGTCTTAAACATAGCATGTGTGAATTTTGTACCGGTCCATCTCTATTGTTGTTGAGCCTTTGTTCATGATTACCAGTGTCACAACCCGAATCAGCTAAGCATGTGACAGGTGTTACTTTAATCCATGAAACATTATAATAGAATAACAAGTCGTAGCGTAACATAGCAAAATAACCCACAATATACAAACCATAAATTATTGTATAAATGTATGCATAACTAACATACACATCTACTCCTATTACAAACTATAATTCCATTAAATACACGTTACACATTAGGTTTTCTTTTATTCTATTACAAACTTCAAATACGTCTTCAAAAGTTATATAGAAACTTTGGCAGATTACTATGTACAAATCTCACAGTATTCTCACATCTAAAATGGAGAAATAATATAAGGTGAGCATCAACAGCTCAGTATAATAACTCAATTTCTAAGCCAACAAGTTTGAAAATAGCATAGTTTATCATGATTGGGCAAAATCCAAAAGAGCATTTGATACATATATGTCAGCAAAAACATCATTTCATGTGAAATCGTAACAGTTAAATAAAACTAAAAAAGAGCAAGTATAGAAATTCAAGTACAGTGCTATATTGGTGGGCAATTCATCCTAATAAACCACTAATGGTCCATACGAACATACGTTCCAACCTTTTGGGGGACTTGCACCCCGAGGAAGATACGCTCCCTAGTCAACATTTAGTATCCAAGTCCGAAGACCAATGGGTCACCCAAATATCTACAAACTCAATGAGCACCCTCTTCGACCTCAAACTGGAATATAAACCTTTTTAGCACTCGACCTGTGTGCACTTATATTTCCTTTAAAAGGATCCCAAAGTTTCATTCAATACGAGCAATTCAAGAAATACGATCATTTCCAAAACATTAG